GTGATGCATTCAAGTTATTGCATGAGGGTTTTGTGAGACAAGTTCTCTCCCCCCCCCCGCCTTTTTGAGACAGGGTCTTGATAAGTTGCCCACACTAGGCTCAAACTTGTGCTCCTCCTGCCTCAGCCCTCCAGAGTGCTGGGTTTAGAGGTGTGTGCCACCATACCTGGTTCAGGGGCAAATTTTAACATTCTAACCATGTAGTTCTGCACTTTGGGCTTTAGAGTCACAAAGAACTCGATTCAAATCACAGGTCTGCTACTTACCAGTGTATACCTTGGTCAACTTATTTCATCTTTCCTAGGTCATTTTCTTGATCTGTAAAATGAGGGCACTAATAATATCTACCACCTAGGATTGTTGTGAGGTCTAAATAAGGACATCCATTGGAAAAGATAACTCTCATGTGCCCATTGTATTCCAACTGCTAGAAATACCATGATTAGCAAAGCAAAACTGGTCTCTGATTTAGCACTGCCTGACAAGTACATAAGCACAGCCTGACACATAGCAGGCATGTGTGAAATGTAAGTCAGTATTTTATCCTAGAGCTCCAGGTTCTGTCCCAACCATATGCCTCCAGACCAGACCTACATAGTCACACCATAGAACCTCTGTTGCACAATTCCACCTGCCCGTCTCCTCCTTGGGAATCCCACAGGCATTGCAAACTCAACATGTCCAACATGGATCTTACCTCTGCATTCCCTAAGCTGCTCTTCTTCCTACAGTCAGAAAGTCATTGGCGGCAGCACAAGCCTTCTTGTGTGAAAGACCTGGTAACCTAGGGACAGACCTTGAATTCCTTCCTCTCCCTCACCTCCCACATCCACTCAATCACCAAGTCCCGACAGTCCTACCCCCTAATTACCTCTCGTTCCCTCTCCATTCCCACCACCACTGCCTTGGTTCAACCTTCACACAGCTGAACTCAGTAAATGCCAGGTTCTTCATAATCTGGCCACAGTTACCCCATCTTGACCTGTCTCCAGACTCTTCTACTTCAATGCCGCAATATTGCTATAAATGAAATCAAATGTACTAACATGGTGTTCTGTAATTTACTTCCCCGCCCTGCCTTCCCCTGTGGCCCAACCCCCAGACTTTATAGTCTAGAAAACCAAATATGTTGTTTTATGAGTCTGTGCCTTTACAGTGCAACGCCTCTACCTAGAATCTCTCCACCCCAACCCCTTGCTCATTTAGCAAACCCCATCCACTTTCAGAGTCCAGCTCAGAAGTCACCTCAGAGACTCCTCCAAGTGGAGTTCATCCTCATACCTGGTGTTGACTTCCATTGCTCTATTGTATTAGACTGTATGTGTTTATATGTTTTTCTTCCTTACTAAACCAGAAATTATTTGAAAGTAAGACTGTCTTCCTCACGTCTGAATCCAACATACACAGGAGACACCTATAAACTTTTTATTATATGAAATGAAGTCCATACTTGCTCCCCTGACTCCTATTTCCCTAAATTATAAAGATAATAATACCTAACCCTTCCATCATACATCTGCATGCCCATGAATGTAATCAACACTGTACACACATCAATTATCTTCATGCTTACAACAGTCCCGAGGAGTGGGCATGATTATCATCTCCATTTTGCAATTGGAGAAAGTAAGGTGTAATATGGCTAATTTGCCCAAGGTCAAGAAGCCAGAATTCAGAACTAATACACTCTGAACCATTCTGCTCTATTGTATCGAATTCCTCAAATCCACACTAGTTTATCCTATTGTTTGGTAAATTTGTCTGCGATGATAGTCACATGGCTGACTAAAAAACTTGAAAATAAACATGGTTTCTGTAGATATGACCATGAATTTCTCCCCAAAATAAACATGGCAGCAACTGGAACCTGGAGCTTTTACTTTTAGGATAAAGGTATTCCCTTTACTATAGACCTTTCTAACAGGGCCTTTTCATAGGGGCCTACTTTAAATGTTTATGTATGGTGCTAAGGGTAGAACCCAGGGCATCGGACATGCCAGGCAAGGTCTCTACCACTGAACTACAACCCCAGAAACTGCTTCTAATGTAACCTCCAATCAAACCCCCATGAGTTCTCAGATTTCCTATCACCTGATTGTATCAAACCCAGCCCCATGAGTTGAAAGTTAAAAGGGTGTATTCATTAAGTAGAACTGATGGCCATGAGGCTAGAAAGCCCTTGGGGACAATAGCCAAACCTTTTTCTGGCCTTTGTCCTCTTGAGCAATTGAACAATGCTTTTAGACAGAGGAAAAGCAGCTTAGTTTAGTCCATAAGCAGGAGAGCAGAACCACGAGATGAATTGTGTTACAACTA